ATAAGTGGCATAAGACACCAAAATACATCTTACGGTTCTGCATGGTAGAAGTTGGACACATGCCTTACCCTTAGCTATCCTAAAATCAAGGCTTTGACAGGCTATATTCCCTGCTAGCTCTAGGAAGAGTCTGCTCCTTGCTTTTTCCAATTCCACAGGCTTCATACATTCCTTGGCCCACTGCCCGTTTCCTCCATTGTCAAAGCCAGCAATATTGCATCCCTCTGATCATTCTTCTGTAGTTATGTTTCCCTCTGATCACAGGCAGGGAAAGCTTTCAGCTTTTAAAGATTCATTTTAAAGATTCATGTGATTAGATTAGTTCCACTTGGCCAGGCCTGAATAATCTCCCCATGTCAGCATCTGCACAGTTCCCCTTTTCCATGTAAGGTAACATAATCATGGATTCTAGGAACTGGTTTTTGTTTTTTTGAGATTGATTGGTGGGGCATTATTTCACCTACCACATATGAGTTGGTAAGAATTCCTTGAGAGTTCTGACCAACAGACAACGTCAAGAACTAAGATCATGGGCACTTGCCATTTCTCAATGATTTCCTATAATGTAATAGTACTGAGGAAATCAAAACCATTGTCTAAGAAATGTGGAGTAAACCAAGTAAGTGTTTATCAACATCAAGAGTTAGCGCTTTCTTCACAAAGGAAGGACATTCGCCTGGGAATGAGATACTCCCCAGTCACAGCCAGCTGGCTGCTGAATAGCAGGGATCAACTCTATAGGTTATAGTCATAACAGTAAAAGGGGTCTATCTCTAATTGTCGTTATCAAAGGAACCATTTATTCATTGTTTGTATTATGCAGGTGCTATATATCCAGATTTCCCAGTAAGAAAATTAAGTGAGTTTTAGGTTTTTTTTTCTTGACAATGACTCATTGTGTGGCCCAAGCTAGACTGGAACTTGAGACAATTCCCCTCCCTAAGCATCCCAAGTGCTAACATTACAAGCATGAGCCACCATACCCAGCTGAAATGGAGTATTTTAGTTAATTTCTTGTTTATGCATGTGCATGTTGGTTGAAGATTGAGTCTAGGGCCTTTTGATGCGAGTCATATACACAACCATTGACCCATCTGTAGGTGACTTTTTATAGTTATACTACTTAATAAGATTTTACCTTCACCAAACCAATAAAATGTACACGTGTGACTCCACAGCCTGAATCCTTTTCGCTTTAAGCTTCACTAAACATTTATAGTGAAAAATATGAAATTCAGGGGAAGATATTCTCATTAACATGAATTTCTACCACACATTTTATGTATCTACAATATATATACAAGGAAATGCCATCTTACATGCTGAAAATGTAAACAAGTAAGGAAATAGTCACCAACTGTGGTAGTGGAGGTAGAGTTTGACAGCTTTCACATCCATGTGGGAGTCCAGGGAAGGGAAATGCACACAATAAAGAAAATAATTCAGAAACTCTTTTAGAGGCATCTAAAGAAATGGATGAATGAGAGAAATGGATATTGGGTGGGAACCAGGTTGTTCAATGCAAATAAAGAAGACATGGGAAATTAATGGGGACAACAATGAGTATGTCTCTGTCTCAGACAGTGCTCCTGGGCTGTGTCACCCATCATTAACAGGAGAAACCTGAGTTCTCCAGTTGGTGAAGGTAGTGTTGGGACATGAATGTATAACACAAGCTTTCTTAGGCACAGGGAGGATGTGTAGAGGACCTAAGCTATATCCTAGCATTATATCTAGTTTGAAATATGGCTGGATCCTTACCTGTGAGCCAACAGCCAACGACTTTAACACCAAGGTCTTCAGTTTCTTTATCTTGGGAGAAGTCAAAAGTAACACTAATGCCAAAGGACTATAAGGACTAAGAGATAATGAAAAGAATCTGAGAATAATAATCACACAATACATTTCGGTTGAGGCTCTTATCAATTCCTCTATGTTTACTCCACAAAAACTGGGTCTTGTCTTTCAGGAAGAATTTTATTGACTACTTCCGAGACCCACTTTAGTTATACTTGTATGCCCACCAGCCGTAGGTTAAATTTACATCGCTTCTGGCAAGGTGTGGTTGATGCTACTAAACATTACTGTTTTCTAAAATGTGGTGTCATGCCTGTCCAGAGACCCAGAGTCTGACACCACTTGAAACTTGCTAATCACATCTGGTTTAGCTTTAGACATTTTCTGGGATTTTGCCAGCAGCTACGACATTTTAATGGCTACAATAAACCTCAAAGCCTCATCAAATCTTTGCTGTATGTGTGAAAATTATGTCCTCTTCAATTAAACATTCAATCTGGGTTCACACCAAGGCCTTATGGAAATGGAGGTGAAACTGACTGGGGACTGGAGATGAAACGGACCGCCTTGATCCTCGCCATCTCGCCAGATGCTATTTAGAAGAAAAAGAAATTCATTAGAGAAACCAGGCTCTGTGTTTTCTTTAAATATTTACTGGGTACCTTTCATGTGTTAGAAACACTGGCATCTCTAAAGATTAGCAGGGCATTTTTGTTTAAATATTCAATGTGTGTGGGGTGGGGGGTGGTGTTCCCTCCTTGGTGTTTGTGGGACTTCATGTGTCTGGGGGAAGCACAGTTTAGGGAAGGGTAATAACCCAGGTGATGCTCAGTCTTCCTTCCAAAAGTTGGTCTCCAAGCTCTTGTGGCTGCTTAGAGTGACTTAGGGGAGTGTCAGTAGAGGCCAAAGTGATACTCAGCAGCATCCCTAGACAAAGTGAGGTGCCTGGGAAACCTGCCTGTCCACTCTCCTCCCATTCCCTTGCTATTCAACATCAAGCTCATATAGACAAGGGCAGCCATGAAGATGTCTGAGAAGATAGCCCCTGGCAGGAGAGGGTAAAATCAAACAGAGATCAAGTTTCTTATCAAACATCTCTGAAGGGTCAGGTCAAGGGCTTTACAATGGGCAGAGAGACAGGATTAAGAAGTGACTCTCAGGGATGGCCTCTATCTTGGATCCTTATTCTGTACTACAAGACATTTGCTGCCATCCAAGAAGGTGCTCTGCCTCCTAAGTCTACCCCTGTAAAAGTACAGAGAAGACTCCATGAGATAGCTTTCTTATTTTTTTTTATTACAGTACAAATTAACCAGTACAAAATATCAGAGCTAAAGATAAAGCTGTCATGTTCTTACAGAAGAACCTAAAGTTCATATATATCCCTGTATGAAGGGTCCACTCGGTTGACTTCATTCTCTCCACATCATCAACAATGGGAGTGGGTGTGGGGAGGAATCAGAATGCTCCTTTAAGAATAATTTACAATGTTAAAAGTATAACCGCTATCCATACTTGAAAAAGTTTTATGCCAAAAGTAAAAAATAAATAACTCCCCCTGGTCCTATGGGCAACTCACTCCCAGGTTGCTTCCATGGTCAGGCAGGTCTCAACCTGAAGAGTGGAGTATTGAAGCACGCTTTCACAATAAACATTTTTTTTAATGTTTATTTTATGTTTTAGTACAAAAGTACTCCTGGTTGAAGCTCTTCATTTCTTCAAGCTTTCCTTCTGGCATCTGGGGGGTGGGGGTTCTATTTCCACATTAACACACTCCCTAGAGTCTCCATTAGTTCACAACAGCGCCAAAGCTAGTTTTTATACTCCTGGGCAAAAAGATGTCTCCACAATGAAAACACAGGGCTCAAGGGATGCCAAAGGAAATCCCTGCCCAAGAGACACATACTTTCACCTTCTAAAAAGCCACACACAAAGAAGATAGAACAAAAGAAAGAGAGAGGGGGGGAGGGAAGGGAAGGGAAGGGAAG